AAAAAATAATATAAAAATTATATTTATATCACCATCTTATATATATTTCCTTCGAGAAATAGTATAAACTTAATCAATTAATCTCCGTTTATAATTAATTTTATTGACGAGAAATATATATGAGTTCTTTTTTTTTTAGAACAAGGAAATTTTTGAAAATAGGGAAGCCTTTAGTATAGAATTTGAAATATTATTACTCTGATGTTTATTAAAACAAAATAATTATTAAACTACTTACCATGAGACAAAAATATATGAGTTACTACATTTTATTATTGGAATATTAATAATTAATATTAACAGACAAGATTGTATCTGGCTGTTTTCTTTAAAAAATAATAATAATAAAAATAAAAACCAAGACTTGAATGTAAATGGATATAGGTACCGACATCCCTGTCCTTAGCCATCAGTGGAGGGTCCCAGATATCCTGCATTATCTATTTATTTAATAAACTAGAATTAAGTTCCGGTTCCTTATCGTTTTGATGAAACCAGAAAATTGTCAAGAATGCACCACTTGCTCAAATAAAACTCAATACATATTTCTTTCAAACATCATCTTCAAAAAAGAAAAAAAAAAAAAAGGAACTATCAGCTGGACTCTCACACATACGAACATATACATAGAAAAGTATGAGTTTGTTTTATCTGTATTTTTAAGAGTATAATAAATATATTTTTTTATCATAAATTTATATTTAAAAATTAATATTTAATTTATTAATTATTTAATTAAATTTACTCATTTAAAACTGATATTAAAATTAATATTAATTTTTATATATTTTTTTTATATATTGATAATAAAAAAACTCTCTTAATCTGAATTGTAAGAATATATGTTAGAAAAACTTGAAGGGTATTTATTACCTAAATCTATTATTAAAAAAAGTTAAAATAACTTATTTTTAAATTGTGAATAAGATTATTTCTAGACCTTTTAATTTTTTTTCATGGTAACTTGTTTAAATAATTTAATTTTGAGGTGCTCTTTTCCTAATTTTTTTTAAAGATCTAAGGTGTGTTTGGGATTATAATTGGAAGTTTTTTCTTGTTACCTTATA